CATACATTCCGCTGTGGGGAGACAGGCGACTTGGGAGCCAAAGGCAGCGCCATCTCTTCCTCTTTCCATCCCAACACAGGCAGGGGCTGCTCTGCGAACGTAGCTCTAGAGGCGCGCGCCTGCGACAAGGAACCCGAAGTGTCTATAGGTCGGAAGTTTCCAGGGGGCCCAAAGTGAAAAGTGGGAGGTTTTCCGAAGGGGAGGAGGGGTGTGGGTTGACTAGTTCCCCTCACCCCCCTACTCCGCTTTATATTGCGGGGAAGGACACCGGAACAGCGAGCAAGGGATGCGGAGGTACAGAGAGGACAAAGAGGTAAAGAGGCTGCGTGGGAAAGGGGGCGATTTAGGGGGAAGAGGAAAGGACAGAGACCCCTCCTGCAAACAGAGCCATAGCTATGGGGGTGGGCTAGCCGGGGGTGGTTGTTTTTTTGCACCAGGTGACGCCTCCAGCAGGGCGCCATTGAGGATGTCTTTGTGGGGACGCAAATGTCCCCAATCGGGTCTTTGACTCGGGGGAAATACAGCCTAGTTTCACCCCTGCCCGCAAAAAAGCCCCTCTCCTGGGCCTCGTAAGCAGGGGCTCCGATCCCCGCAATCCTGCTGCGAAGTGGGGGCCCAACACCTGCAGGGATTGCGTGGCAGGATCTCCTTACAGCCCCTCCCCACCACCCATGTTTCTTTTCCCTGGGGGTCCAGGAGGTGGCCCCCGATCCATGCAATCCAGCTGCCCTCTCCTTTGCAGCGCCCTCCTCTCCACACGCATCTCTTTTCCCCGGGGGCTCAAGCGACGCTGAACTGCCCTGCACCCCCGGGCTCTCTTGCCTTAACTGAAACGTGATGCCCACCAAGGGGGTCCCCACGAAGACCCCTGTCCCCAAGCAGGGTTGGATTTGAACCCAGACTCAAACACGACGCCGCCCGCCCTCTGCCTTTTCCTGCTGGCAGGAATCCCTGCGCCTTGAGGGAGAGATGGAGCCACGAAAGGGTTAAAGGAAGTGAAATAGGCTTGGATAGAGACCCCCCCCTCTCCCGCCTCCCTGCCCGTCTTGGGAGGCCCCTCCGGATGGAGAGGTTGGTGCGCCCGGGAGAGATTCGGCGCAGAGGGCGAGGGGTGAGCCGTGCCAAGGGGGTTTCTGGGCGCAGGGGAGACTGTGGGACGGAGGGAGGAGGGCAGAGGAAGATGGGGGGCTGAGGGAGGAATGGCAGCATCCCTGGGGGATAGAAGGCCAGCCGAGCAGAGAGGGAGGGTGAGAGACTCTTCCTTTTGGAGAGATGTCTCCATCCTTGGGCGCTGGAGGAGGAATCTCCGGTGGTGGGTCTGCCTTGGCTTCTCCCTTCTGCCCACTCTGCCTGATAAGGGGGGGGGGGGGTCTACTGATTCCCCCACCCTTTCCTCCCTGGAAGCTCAGTCCTCTCCCCACTGATCCTCGGCTGCATTGTTGTTATTGTTGTTTAGTCGTGTCCGACCCTATTTGCCAGGAGGTGATGGGGCCCGTGGCCATGATCTTCGTTTTTTTTGATGTTGAGCTTCAGACCATATTTTGCGCTCTCTTCTTTCACCCTCATTCAAACGTTCTTTAATTCCTCCTCACTTTCTGCCATCAAGGTTGTGTCATCTGCATATCTGAGGTGGTTGATATTTCTTCTGGCAATCTTAATTCCGGTTTGGGATTCATCCAGCCCAGCCTTTCACATGATGAATTCTGCATATAAGTTAAATAAGCAGGAGGACAATATACAGCCTTGCCGTACTCTTTTCCCAATTTTGAACCAATCAGTTGTTCCATATCCAGTTCTAACTGTAGCTTCTTGTCACATAGAGATTTCTCAGGAGACAGATGAGGTGAGGATGCTATAGAAAGTTTTTCAGGGTTTATCCGTAAGTATACCCTGAAAGCATTTCAATTACTTTTATTTTTTGTAGGGAATGTCAGAGTCAGTTACAAACGGAGATACAGTCTATCAGCATCCAAAGATCCATAATCCGTCCCAGTCGGGGGCATTTCCATGATAGACAATACCTGTGGCTGGAGGCCCTACACCCAGGGCTGTGCATCTGTAGGCCTGGAATTGCCAGTATTACAGGAAAGGGGTGTGAGCTTCCCAAAATTACAGACTGTATGTGAGTGAGAGTTTGTGTGTGGGGTGATAGTTTACAGCAACCGTGTAATTTACTCCATCCGTAACTTTTCATGAGCCGATATTGCAGTAGGAATTCCAAAATAACAAAATACGCAAAATCTACAAAGAGACTCACAGGATAATGGAGATTGCGAGTATTCCTGCTCCACAGTCCACATCCTCAGCCTGTGGCCCACAAAAGTTGAGACCATCATACTTTTATTAGCCGTTAATGGGACACCAGCTACTTTGTTATAACTTTCTTCAACAAAATACTTTTACAGTGACATAAATGGCACTTCCGTTTTACTCATTGTGCACAGGAGAGACTCTGATCTGCAAGTCTGAGATCAACTCCTCGCTTGAAACAGAAAAATACAGAGATCTTTTTCCTGGACCAATTGAGGGGTATGTCCTTCCTCTTGCCTGGGAGACTGTATCTTTGTAGGTCTCGCTTCTGTTTGTGGGAACATGAGAAAAGTCCTGCTGGATTAGGATCAGGGCCCACCTCGTCCAGCATCCTCTTCTCACAAGGACCAGCCAAGGAGAAACCCCCCAGCAGGGCCAACAGCTGTCTCCCCACTCAGGATTCCCAGCCCCTGGGATTCAGATGAATAATTCCTCTGTAGGTGGAGGGGTAACATGGCCAGAAGGTGGGAGAACCGAAGGACTCCTACTGAAATGGTGGGTGGTTCACAAGGCAGTAGCCTCAGGGCTTAAATGGTTTCAGGATTAGGGAATGTGTGCTGTTGGTTGGAGTGTACCTGGAATAATGTGCAGAACCAATTTCTTGACCGTTGGATCCACGCTTGGTGTCATCCGCTAAATCCACCAGATCCTGTCTTCACATACAGCGTAAGGCCCCAACTCCCTGAGGGTTTGAGACCCATTGACTATCCTCAACAGGTTTAGCCAGCCAGTCAAAACTATTGCCTGGGTTGTGTCCGCTGTTGCATGCTGGCAGCTTCTAGGGCCCACCGGAGAGAGCTGAGTGCAGGGTGGGGACCAAAGGATCCCTATATGTCCCCCACGAGAGGTACTACCCCTGCCCCAGCACCCAGTGACATAATACTATCAATGTATTTAAGATAGATTAGGAATAAATTTGTGCCTCCAGAAATAACAGTTAACAGCTTCATCCCATGAATGACCCAATCCTATATATCCAAGGTTGAAGTTTCCATTAAGTACAGTTATACAGGGTGAGTCCTTTAAAAGAGGCCCCATGGATACAGAGGACACATGTTCCACGGGGGGCTCTTTATATTGACATTTAATATCGAGGTTTTTCAGTGCCATACATATTCCCCATTGAAGCATAGGTGGTACATCCAGAAATCCTTGACCACCCACTCCAAAGGAGAAAGGAACGTGAGAGAGGCCTGCACAGAGAATTTCCACTGGGATATTCCAGTGTCACAAGATGAACATGAGATCAGGTGGCACATCATAATTATAAACAACAATTGGGGTGGGTGTTTCAGTTTCAGATTCTCTAAATTGAAACCTGCTTTCCTTCTGCATTTCCAGCTCTTCCTGTGCAATGCAAGGCTGACAAGGAGCGGTCCAGATCCAAGAACATTTTCCTTCCTGAGCACTCATTTAGCCATCCCCAGGCACCAACCCTTACCACTATTTCACTGACAGACCCATACCACAGTCCCTAGAAGTGACTCAGACCTGGGTATCCCAAGATGGTTACTATCGGCCTACAGTCATATCTCTTGTCACGTTCGGTTTAGGTTACATCTTTTCAGGTGGCATCCCACGGTGACCCGGAAGTACCGGAAAGGGTTACTTCTGGGTTTCACCGCATGCACTCAAAATGACGCCACGCGCATGCGCAGAAGCGGCGGAACACGACCCGCACAGGCGCGGGTTGCGTTCTGCTCATGTTGCAAACGGGGCTCCAGAACGGATCCCGTTCGCAATGAGAGGTGCCACTGTACTGAGGTGAAAGGGACTGTGCAGGTGATTAATAAACATCTAGGGGATAAAGGGGTTAAAATGTGGCCCAGGAGATGGAGGATTATCATGCAAGGCAGAGGATGAAAAATTGCATTAGGAACGCTGAAGCTGAGAAATAGGGGGCAGAAAGCGGCTCCCTTTCCTGTGAGGAACTACTTTCCTTAAAAGGCTATTCCGCAGCAAACCATTTTCTAAGATCATGCTGTTTTCATAAGGATTATGAAAGGTTGATGATGCATTACTATTATTTAACATTACCGTATTTTTCGCCCCATAGGGCGCACCGGCCCATAGGACGCACCTAGTTTTGGGGGGGGAATAAAAAAAAAATTATTTCCCCCCCAGGCGTGTGGCTGGGGCAGGGGAAGCCCGAGCTTCCCCCGACCCCAGCCCCCAGAACAGGCAGCTCTCCGCAAGCTTTGGGAGACTGGCGCGACTTCCCGCCGGGCTCCCACGGCTTGCGGATATCTGCCTGAAGCCCAAACCAGGTCGGGGAACAGTGGGATGGCGGCGCTGCGCCTCCCCGCTGTCCCCGAGCTGTGGGGCTGGCGGCGGGGAGAAACGCGCTTCTCCCTGCCGCCAGCCTCCAAACCAGGTCCGGGGACAGCGGGATGGCGGCGTTCCGACCCCTCTCGCTCTCCAGGCTTCAGCGAAAGCCTGCATTCACCCCATAGGATGCACACACATTTCCCCTTCATTTTTGGAGGGGAAAAAGTGTGTCCTATAGGGTGAAAAATACGCTAATCTCCTTTTCATTTCCTAAATATGTGGGACATAGGGAGGATGCGGGGAGATGTATAAGATGTTAAAATAAGACAATATGCTAATTGCACTTGATTTGTGTCACATTCCTTTGTTCTGTTCCTTAAAACACCTACAGGATTCTATTTTCCTGCACTCTAAAGCAGGCAATGGAGAAGAAAGTCAGAATTCTGCAGGGCCTCCTTACTGCAGATCAACAGACTCACACAGGGAAGAAACCATTTAAATGCATGGAGTGTGGAAAGCAGTTCACTTACAGTGGAAATCTTAGAAAACATAAACGAATTCACACAGGGGTTAAACCATTTAAATGTTTGGAGTGTGGAAAGAGCTTCAGTCAGAATGGAAACCTAAGACAGCACCAACGAACTCACACAGGGGAGAAACCCTTTAAATGCATGGAATGTGGAAAGAGCTTCGGTGAAAGTGGGACACTTAGAAAACATCAACAGATCCACACAGGGGAGAAACCATTTAAATGTATGGAGTGCGGGAAGAGCTTCATTGAAAGTGGGACACTTAGAAAACACCAGCGGACTCACACAGGGGAGAAACCATTTAATTGTACGGAGTGTGGAAAGAGCTTCAGTCAGAAGGGAAACCTTAGAGAACATCAACGAACTCACACCGGGGATAAACCATTTAAATGCATGGATTGTGGGAAAAGCTTCATGTTTAGTTCAACATTCAGACAACACCAACGGACTCACACAAGGGAAAAACCATTGAAATGTGGAAAGAACTTCCCTGATACTGGAAATATTGGAGAACATCAACAAACTCACACAGGGGGAAAACCATTTAAATGTATGGAATGTGGAAAGACCTTCAGTCAGAAAAGAAACCTTAGACAACACAAACAAACTCACATGGGAAAGAAACCATCCACATAGGGATAAAACCCTTTAAATACAGAGTGTGGACAAATCTTAACTTGGTGGAGCACTGTGAAAAGATCAATGGACTCACAGAGGGAGGAAACCATTCAAATGTATGGAATGCAGAAGGAGATTCACTTATAGTGGGACACTTAGAATTCATCTACGGACTCTCAGAGGCGCAAAATCATTTAGATGTCTGGACCGGGAAGCTGTCTGTGGACAAACGCCAGCTCCTCGACCTATAGAGCGAGATTAGCGCAGCAACCCCAGAGTCGTCCGCGACTGGACCTAATGGTCAGGGGTACTTTTACCTTTAAATGTTAAATGCATAGAAGTCTATGTGATGTTCTGGTATTTGTATATAAACTTGTATGTACTTGTTGTTGTTGTTGTTGTTGTTGTTATTTTAGTATTTATGCCCTACCCATCTGCCTGGGTTCCCCCAGCCAGTCTGGGCAGCTTACAGCATATTTAAAATGTGCAGATAACGTCTTACAATAGTAGGTATAATATAAGATGCAATGTAATGTTAGGAAAGGGGAGAGTGTGAATCTGGAGTGCTGGTGGTGAGTGCTGGTGGTGGGATGGGATGAGAGTCAGATGGTTTTTGGTCTTTGGTGGAGAGAGTTGGAAGCAGGGCTGGTTAGATTAGTATGATAGGAACAGCTGCATTACTCCCATTGTAATTGCAATAAAGGAACAAGGAAGACTCAGAGCATCTTATATGCAGAGTGTAATCTTGAAGCCCTCTTATACTGTTAATATTTCATAAATTAATAGTCTAATAAATAAAACAAGAATATTGGGCAGGGGTCCATCTCACTAGCGCTCTGTTATACAGTCATACCTCATGTTACGTCCACTTCATGTTACGTTCTTTCAGGTTATGTCCCGCGGTGACCCGGAAGTACTGGAAAGGATTACTTCCGGGTTTCACCGCTTGCGCATGTGCAGATGCGCAAAATGACGGCATGCGCAGAAGCGGCGAATCACAACCCGCGTTTGCGCAGACGCGCCGCTGTGGGTTGCATTCTTTTCATGTTGCAAACCAGCCTCTGGAATGGATCCCGTTCACAACCAGAGGTACCACTGTAACAGGTTCATGATAATCATGTTTGACTGGTGGAAAGTTGAGAGCTCTGGGCGCTTCCCCAGAAGTAGTGTGAGTCTCCTCATGGGTTTTTAGTGGAGGTAAAAGGTAAAGGTAAAGGATCCCTGGACGGTTAAGTCCAGTTGAATCTGACTATGGGGTGCAGAGCTCATCTCTGCTTTCAGGCCGAGGGAGCCGCCCTTTGCCCACAGACAGCTTTCCGGGTCATGTGGCCAGCATGGCTAAACCGTGACGGAAGCCAGAGCGCACGGAAACGCCATTTACCTTCCCACCACAGCAGAAGAACGACAGCTGGTGGGGGTCATCCCTGCACCCACCAATACACATCTTGGTTGAACCTGGGGACTTAGGAAGAAGGCCACCCCACCCACCCCAAAAAGGGGACAGCTCTGTAACCAGCACCCTGTTCCCTCTGCACATCTCAGGCACTGGACCTGGTGACTGAGGAGACCCCATGGACGTGAGAGGGGAACCCCTAGCAGCAGCCTCTTGCGTTAGAGGACACTTCTAGTTCTCTCTCTCTCTCTCTCTCTCTCTCTCTCTCTCACACACACACACACACACACACACACACACTCCACCCCTACAATGCCCAAAATAACTTTCTATCCTGTTCCTGCCTGAGGATGTTTCACTCCACAACAGTCTGTTCGCCAGGGTGCTTTTTCTATTTTTCCCTTCTCCCCCCCCCACCAGTAATTTTCCAAGTACCACCCTCTACGTCCCTCCCCCACTCCCGACTTCCCCTCCCCCATGTGAGATCTTATTGGCAATTGTATTATTGTTTCTTGTTGTGTTAGCAGTTATTTATACTTAATAGTCATATCCTTTATAATATCATCTTGTATCCTTGCAAGTCTTTCCTTTCATGTTTATGTTAAACTCAATTTCCATCTCCATATATTTTCATATATATCTCAACACACTCCCACACTCTTAATTTTTTTGCTTGGGGCAGCCCCTAATGGATGCCGTTAATTTTGCCATCTCCATAAATCCACAGATCTTAATTCACCATTCTGATAATTCTGGTATTTTTTCCTGTTTTCCAATTTTTTGCCACTAGTAATCTAGCCGCTGCTGTCACATAGAGGAATATATTCTTTTTATCTTTGGGGATATCGTTGGTTATTAAGCTTAACAGATATGCTTCTGGCTTTTTGAGAATTGTGCTCTTAAATATTCTTTTCAACTCTTCATGTATCTTGGTCCAAAACTGTTTAATCGCCTTACACCCCCACCACATATGGTGCATTGTTCCCACTTCCGCTTTACATCTCCAACAAAGGTCTGAATATTTTTTATAGATCATGAAACGGTGAAATCTGCTATGATTAAATGGGCACAAGATGTTGGACATAACATAATGATGGCTGACTGGGAACAGTTATGGACCACAGGTATGAAGTTTACGGCATGCAATGCCTTAAGAGAGAATATTATGAAAATGATATACAGGTGGTACATGACACCAGTCAAGCTTGCAAAAATCTACCATTTGCCCGATAATAAATGTTGGAAATGTAAGGAAACTGAAGGTACATTCTGTCACCTTTGGTGGACGTGCCCAAGGATTAAGGCTTTCTGGGAGATGATTTATAATGAACTGAAAAGGGTATTTAAATATACCTTTCTGAAGAAACCAGAGGCCTTTCTCCTGGGCATGGTCGGCCAAATGGTGCCAAAGAAGGACAGAACTTTCTTTATGTACGCCACAACAGCAGCAAGAATACTTATTGCAAAGTATTGGAAGACGCAAGATCTACCCACTCTGGAAGAATGGCAGATGAAGGTGATGGACTACATGGAACTGGCGGAAATGACTGGCAGAATCCGAGACCAGGGAGAAGAGTCGGTGGAAGAAGATTGGAAGAAATTTAAAGACTACTTACAGAAATATTGCAAAATTAATGAATGTTAGAATGATGTCAGAATGAAGTTAAGTGGTTTAAGCAGCAATGTTTTAAAGGTGTATGAAATATGGGTTAATAATAGGTGAGAACTCAAAGTTACATTATATTAAGTTAAAGGATTAAGACAAAAATAAAGAGGGAAAGAAACTGCTGAATTAACTAACTGAACTGGAATACAAAAAAGGGAGGTGTGAGGAGGTCAGGGAAGCAAGGCTATGAATATATGATATGGAAAGATTGATGTGTTTTTTCTTCTTTTTCAAATGTTTTTTATCTTTTTTCTGTATTTTGTATTTTTCTTTTTTTTCTTTTTTAATTTTATTTTTATTGTTGTCTTTTTGTCTAATTTTTTTTACTTATGTAACTTTTTTCTTTGAAAACTTAATAAATATCATTAAAAAAAAAGAATATTTTTTATAGATCTTTGCCAATTTTACCAGCGTGCTTTTTCATTGGCAAGGATTTTTCTGCTCTGCCACGGCTGCCCACCATGGCACCCCAAGCAGGAGCAGACTTTGGCAATATGGAACCTGAAGGGAGGGAGGCAAATTTTGACACCCCCCCAAAAAATATTTCCTATTTCACAATAATTCCTTTTGGTACAGTTGTTTTTTTAAGTAGATCTCCTCAACAGGCACCGATCTCCTCCCCATTTCACTCTGCACATGCTCTCAAGTGCACCATGTCATAGTTGTGGCGACTCAATCACCCGTCTGACCAGGGCCTAACTTTGAGTAGGCACACAAATAAATTGTTGTTGGCCTCCGCCTGTCTCAAGAGACAATGGAGTACACCTCCAGGGGTGAAGCCCAACCGTTGTGTTGGCAGCCCCAAAGTGGCCTCCCCGGGGCGCAATCCTGGACAGTGTGTATGGAGGCCCTGGGCTGCCCAAATAAATATAGGTTTATAATATATATATATATATATATATATATATATATATATATATATATATATTTCCTGTTTAGGGAGGTTTTAAATGTTTGATGTATTTATCGTGCTTTTAATACAGTGGATGCTCGGCTTGTGAACGTGATCCATGCAGGATGCACGTTCGCAACCCGCAGCGTTCAAAACCCGCAGTGGCGTGTCTGCACACACACAGGTTGCGATTCGGCGCTTCTGTGCAAAGCGCAATTTAGCACTTCTGTACATGTGCAACTGCCGAAACCCGGAAGTAACCCGTTCCGAAAAAACGCAACCTGAAGTGTCTGTGACCCGAGGTATGACTGTATTCCGTTAGGAGCCGCCAAGAGTGGCTGGGGAATCATCTGCACCACCCGAAATCTGATGCTGTCCCCAAGCTACTTTGAGGCCAGGCAGGCAAGAGGAGCGGGCAGTGAAAGCCCTTCCTTGGGTCACCTCTTTGCCCTCCTCCGTTCCTCATCCCAGGAAGAGATGCTGAGATGGACCCAAGAAGAGGGTCTGATGGGAGTTGTAGTCCCAAACATCTGGATGGCACCAGGCTGGGGAGTGCTGAGTTACAAGTTAGTTTTTTGTTACAGCTTACAAATTTCAGACAACGTTTTACTTTTCTTGTGTATTTTGAACTCAAGTTTCTCAAAGCTCAAACTTCTAAAAACATTGTTGCTAAAGAGATTTGTCGGCTTGGCCATTTCATCTGTTGAACACGCACACACAGAATCAGCACTGGATCTGAAGGAATTGGTGACAAAATCTGCTAAGGAACAGGCAGGCCGAGTGAGATTTTGATGTGCCTGAAACGGAAACTTTTAAGTGCCTTGAATTTTAACACCACAGTTTGCAAGGTTATTCCAAATGATCTGTGCGCTAGAACATTTGCTTTGGTATTTGCTGTGCTACTTACTCCGGCAATTTAAAATAAACTTGGCAATTTCAAGTTTTGTGCTCTTCATTTACTCGCTATAAGACACCTGTTTCTGAAAACTGAAGTTAGCAAATTTTGGGGGTGGGGTGTGTGCGTGTGTGCAAGTAGTTAGCCTCGCCTAGGGTGCAAAATAGCCTGGCACCGGTGCTAGGAACATAAGAAATGAAGAAGAAGAAGAGGAAGAGCTTGGATTTGATATCCCGCTTTATCACTACCCGAAGGAGTCTCAAAGCGGCTAACATTCTCCTTTCCCTTCCTCCCCCACAGTAAACACTGTGAGGTGAGTGGGGCTGAGAGACAGGCCCAAGTGTGACTGGCCCAAGGTCACCCAGCAGCTGCATGTGGAAGAATGGGGACGCAAACCCGGTTCACCAGATTACGAGTCCACCGCTCTTAACCACTACACCACACTGGCTCTGAGAACAGAAAAAGCGGGAAAGGCATAGCCAGGATTTTGGGATGGGGGTGGGGCAGGACACCCACCTGTCGTCATCCTCTCTCTGGCTCTGTCTAGCAGATTCAAAATGAAATTTCTCAACAACAGTTGTTTTATATTACTTTCTTTTGACCCTAAGTGCTCAGAAAAATATGTCAAAATCTTTTTGCGTTTTCTACTTTTAGTTGAGCATTTTTATTTCTTTTTACTTGATTTAGGAGAGGGAGCTATCTCCCCAGTGGTAGAGGAACCCTCTCCGGCACCCAGGGCGGGGCATCCCGTACGGAGTGCGCATGTGCAGCATCCTGTAAGGACTGAGTATGTGCGGAGACCGTATGGGATGCCGCACATGCGCACTCTGTACAGGATGCTGCTTGCGCACAGCGACTGTACAGGCTGCCATGCGAGTGTGTGTGCATGTGTGGAGTGCGCGTACATGGCACACCATACGGTAGCTGTGTGAGAGGCAGCCTGTAAGGATGGCGCGCACAAGAGGCAGCCCATATGGATGCCGTGCACCCTTGGCCGCTCTACAGCTGGGGGGAGGCAGGGGCAATATTGTCACCCCCCAAGAGTGGCACCCAGGGCGCACCGCCCCCTCCGTCCCCCACTTCCTACGCCCCTGTACCTCCCCACCCACCCCCAGCTACATCCATGGTGAAACGGGAAGCATAAATAATATCAACGACACTGTTTTCACATATTCCATGCGTCTACCAAGGCTGCTTTCAAGGTGTGTGTGGCAGATTTGCCCTGTTACTATATTAAATGAGATGTCTGCAAAACTTCTCAAAGGCTTCCGGCTTAGTCCTACCGGACAAGAGAATTCCATGCCCTGCAAGCCTTTTCTGTATGTTACCGGAAAAATCCGAGGGCTCCCTTGGACAAAATAAAGACACCAACCAGGATAACTTGGAGCAAAACAGCAGCCTGTAGGCTTGGCCTTTATTGAACTGTTGCAACAGGGTGTTCCCCTCACTTGCAGGAGAGAGGAAAGACCCAGAAAGATGGTGTGCAAGACCTTATAAAAACTTTTGAAATTCCCATCCTCTAGGTCAAGCCCACCCCCAGAAACATCATGCATACATTACAGAAAGGAGGGGTTGAGGGAGAAGTTGTGGTGGTAACCTGAGTGCCCTGTCACCTGGCTGGTTCCTCCTTTCCCCCTGCCCATGAGTCACTTCCAGGAGACAAAGGGGAGTTGGCAGTTTCCTGCCCCCAGAGGGAAGATCTGATCATTGTCCTTTGTTTCAGTCCATGCTGAATCCACTCCCATATGCAAGTTCTTTGTGATCTTGATGGTCTTCTGTCTAGGACCATCAGGGTTGGCATAGCAACTGGGCAGGGCTCCTGTGGATGTGCTGGGATGGTGAAGGGATTATGGCTGACCAGAACCAAGCCACCCCCCTTTGATAGTCCTTGTCATATGGAGTAAAATAAAAATGGAACAGTGCAAATCCTATGTATGGTTGATTTTTCTATGAATTTATAACAGAAGTGTGGGATATGTAGTGTGTGAGTGTGAGTGTGTGAAGTTTGTACAAACTGAATGGGGTGGGGGGTTCCTGCTACATGTACATGGCATACACCAGACCTTACCCCACTATATCTCACTATCAGTCTCCTGTAATTATTATTATTAATATTAATAATAATAATAATAATAATTTATTTATATCCCGCCCTCCCCAGCCGAAGCCGGGCTCAGAGCGGACAACAACAATAAAAGCAACACAGTTCACATAAAATCACATTGTCGTCTTCCACTACTGAACAGTGGTAGTTCATCAGTTTTGTTGAATTAAGCGAAATAATTTAAATTGGATTTGGCACAAATATGCCATTAATTGCTGCTGCTGCTCTTAAATCTCCTCGTGCTATTCTCTTGCATATCGCTATCCTGAATAAGGCTTTCGGGGCACCCAGGCCGGTGGAAAAGTTTTAGAAGAAGCCGGCGTAAGCCTTGGCTTGCACCTCCCCACCCCCACAAAAAAAGCTACCAGCAAAAGCACGAAATGAGGGTAATTTGCACAGGCGCCACTTGCTGGTCGTCCCTGCAAGGGTTAAAGCCACGTGCTGCAAAGTCCTAGAGAGGGTTGGGGGGAGAGGAGGAAATGAGATAGGGTCGCGTCACTTCCTCCCTTCACTCCCCTGCCCTCCTCCCTCCCCAACTCAGAGAGATAGAAGCAGAGAGAGAGGAAGGAAGAGGTGGGGGGTCTCGGGTGAGTTTGCAGTGTGGGGTTTTTTGGGAGGGGGTGGAAATGATGGGGGGTTTTGCCGGGTTGAGGCGGGAGGGGGGGGAAGGGTTCTTTGGGAAGCAAGTTAAGAAGGGGAAAGTCTTCCCAGCTCCCCCTGCCCCCCTCCCGGGAAAAGACCCGCCCCCGCCTCGCCGAAGCCCCCCTCCCTCCTTGACAAGGCCACTCTGCCAGGCAAGCCTTTTGGGGAAGCACCCGCTTTGCAGGGCGCCTCCTCCTTTGCGTGTTTTAAACCGCCCATAGAGCTGGAAGGGACCCCCAGGGGCTATCCAGCCCAACCCCCGCAGGAATCCCAGGCGAGGAATCCCTGGCATGTGGGCGAAAGAGAGTTAGCCCGTTCCTCCTTCAAACAGCTCTTAGTTGTTGTTGTTGTTTAGTTTAGTTTACTTGTTGTTGTTGTTGTGTCCGACTCTTCGTGACCCCATGGACCAAAGCATGCCAGTTTGAACTAAGCTCCCGCAGTTTGGTCAAGCTCATGTTCGTAGCTTCTTTTTTTAAAAGAATATTTTTTAAAAAATTATTATTTTCCTTATACAAATTTTACAATACAATACAATACAATAAATTAAAAATATTTTTTTCCTTACCTGAGTTGATGATATCCATTTCCGCAGTCACACAATCAATCATTCAGTAGCTGAATTGGGTTCCACACAGTCACAAAAACAAATTAACCGGAAAAGCCTCAAAATTGGTGCATGCGCCCCGGAAACAATAGCCGACAGCCGCGTTGGACGTTCAGCTTCCGAAAAATGTTCGAAAACCGGAACGCTTAGTTCCGGGTTTTCGGTGTTTGGGAACCAAGGCATTTGAGAACCAAGGTACCACTGTATAAATAATATTCTTGGACTTGGGGGAGTGCTCACACCGCACTGCCTGAGAGGCGGCGCAGAGTAGTGGTTAGTGTGCTGGACTAGGACATGGGAGATCAGGATTCAAATCCCTGCTCACCCACGAAGCCCACTGGGTGACATTGGGTCAGTCAGGCTGACCTACGCCGCAGGGTTGTTCTGAGGTGTGGCGTTTGCCCGTTCATTTGAAAATGTCTGTATGGGGGGGGAGAAAGGGTTAATATGTAGACCAATAGGAAAGCTGGAGGCGGAGCCTACCTGCTTATAAAAGGGCTTAGCCCAGGTTGGTTTTAGTGGGTTGGTTGGTTGGGAAAAGCAGTTGGAAAAGCAGTTGGCAGGCAGTTGGAAATAAGAGAGACAGTTAGTGCAGTTGGTTCTTGTGTGAGGGTAGGTAGAAGAGATAGAGACAGGATAAAATACAGTGGTAACTCGCAAGACGAATGCCTCGCAAGACGGAAAACCCGCAAAACGAAAGGGTTTTTGGTTTTTTGAGTTGCTTCGCAAGACGACTTTCCCTATGGGCTTGCTTCGCAAGACGGAAACGTCTTGCAAGTGTGTTTCCTTTTTCTTAAAACCGTTAATACAGTTGCGACTTGACTTCGAGGAGCAACTCATAGCACGCGGTGTGGTAGCCTTTTTTGAGGTTTTTGAAGACTTTTGTGATTTTTGAAGCTTTTCCAAAACTTTTCCGACGCCGTGCTTCGCAAGACGAAAAAAACCGCAAGACGAAAAAACTCGCGGAACGAATTAATTTCGTCTTGCAAGGCACCACTGTAAGACTAAGAAGGTAAAGAATAACAGCGTTTGGAATGCAGTTAAAGTTTGTTTGTGTCTGCAATAAACTACACTCTTCTTGGTTAACTTGAGAACCTGACTGAGACTAAGTGATTTACCGGGGAGGACCTGGTTGGTGGCAGAGGATTAGTGGTGTATGGGTCAATAGTCTGTGAGACGACCGGGGGCTCCGTACGAAAAAATTGAGAGGGGGCAAAGTGTGTACATCCCCTTGAGCTCTTTGGAGAAAAGGTGGGGTAGAAATGTAATAGCAGTTTTTTAAAAAATCCAGTTACTGACCTGTTAAATTGGTGGTAGGACTCTCAGGGCGGTCTAGAAGCGATTGTACAAGACACTTTCTTCTGAGTGGACTTGCCATTGTACAGATATATGGTGCGACCGTGTTTGTAATCCTATGTATGGTTCTGGTCATGCCTCACCTCCAAAAGGATATCGCACAAATGTTCAAGGGGATGGAGCTACATAAGGAAAGGTTGCAGCCTTTGAAGGGACCCCAATGGTCATCTGTTCCAACCCCCAGCAATGCAGAGGGAATATTTATAAGTGAGGGAATACAATAGTACATCGATACGTGACACAACCTCTCATTCTTACTTTCTTTTCCAAAGGGAGAATCTTGAACTGACTGCTGAAAGCCTCCTGTTTTGCCTAAAACTCACCTGCTTGCCTGTAGACCAGCAGTGCATTTCCTGCGTGCGTCTACTCAGAAGTAAGCCCCGCTGATTTCAACAGGACTCCACTCCCAGGTGAACACATATAGGATTGCACCCTTTTAGGTCTTTTGAGACTAATCAGGGGCCTCCTCACACAACCTTTGTCCTGGGAATGGAAGGAACTTTGCAGCAAAAGGACTTTTTGGTCTGGAAGGGAGCTGAGATGTATCTCGGAGGTAAAATGGGTCTTCCAGGCCCAGCAAGGGAGGCGTCAGGAAAAGGCCCCGGCTCATTTTTGGCTGAGAACTCTGGGGAATTCCAAAAAAGAAGAGGGCAGAAGATCCTGAATGAAGAAGCGGTAAGTTCAAACACTCTCTGCCGGCGCTTCAGGCGTTTCCGCTACCAGGAGGCCGAGGGGCCCCGCGTGGCCTGCAGTCGACTCCACCGTCTCTGCCGCCAGTGGCTCAAGCCGGAAAGGCACACCAAGGCCCAGATGCTGGACCTAGTGATCCTGGAGCAGCTCCTGGCTGTCCTCCCCCCGGAGATGGAGAACTGGGTCAGGGAGTGTGGGCCAGAGACCAGTTCCCAAGCGGTGGCCCTGGCCGAAGGTTTCCTTCTGAGTCGGGAGGAAGACAGAAAGCAGGAAGAGGAGCAGGTGAGAAAGTTGAACACCCTGATAGTTCTAGGGAGCTGGGATTGTACCTAAGGAGGGGTTGTTTTTTGTTTTTCTAAATCATTTTTATTAAGTTTTCCATTTTAACAATCCAATCAGGTCACATTAAATATTCCAAATTATACATATAAAATAATCCAAATATTCTGATGAATTATAATTTTTTTGTTGGGGCTTCCCATGCTTCGAGTTCGGGGGGGGGGCTCTGATTATCTCATATCTCTGCTGCTTTTGATAGTCATTTCTAATAGTTCCTTTAAATCTTCCTGTTGTTTTCCTTCTTTCACTGCCTCTGATTTGTTTCCACAAGCGAGTTGAAGCAAAACGATGTGTTTCTGTGTGGGTTTTATGTGTACGATACCCCTCTGTCTGTGCAGCATCTCCTCACACGCTGGTATTTCTGCCGAATCAATCCAAAAGTCTTTTCACTGCTGGCAGCCGCCATCTTCTCTCAGTTCCGATGAAACAATTCCAGGCGTCTGCTCATTAATTTTCCCAGACCGGTTGCATCAAACATTAGCCTTTCCAGGGGAGATTGACCAAATCAGACTTGAAATACAAATATAATGACATATTAAGGGCTCATCTCCCCCTATGACTTTATAACTCTGCAGCTCGGTCTTATTCCATCATGGCGGATTTCCAGATTAAAAGGAAGGGTTGCATTTTGACATGCAGTTCCTTGCAATGGAGAGATTTCACCACCTCTAGAGGCCGATTGTTCCGCTGGTCAGACAAGGCCATCTGACTTTGCCTGTGGCAAACCTGCAAGCAGGACACGGGCACAAGAGCCCTCTTAACCCCTGAGGTTTCCAACAGCTGTTTTTCAGAAGCCCTGCTGGCTGCAACCGTGGAGAGCAGAGCACGGCCACCATGGATTGCCAGATAGTTATTCACGATGCGCTGGGTGGGGAGGCCCAGACATTCCGCCTGCCCCATTGATTTCAGCAGGGTTTTGCAGAGACTTAGGGGAGGGAGGCGTGAATCCATCCCTTGGTCGGTATTGTTTCTCTCAACTCCTCCCCATTTCCCTGCATGGGATCCTTCTGTTCCAGGTGCTGGAAGTGATCATCGATTCCCCCAAGGCAGAGTTTGGCCTGCCCAGTACCTGTCAGGTCCCGTTATTTGGGGTAATCAACCAAGAGGATCGTCCATGGAACATGTTACCGGGTAAGGGAGGATCCCTTTTTGGTGGGGGTGCACCTAGCTGTCAACGTTTCCCTTTTCTAAAGCGAAATTCCCTTATCGCGAATAGGATTCCTCACAAGAAAAGGGAAAAGTTGACACCTATGGATGCAAAGTTCCCAGGAGAAAGTCCAGCTCCCCCTCTCCTCTTGTGGGGCCTGGAATTCACCCACAGTTTGCTGATGTACTACTGCTTTCCACATTTTGCCTCCACCACCTCTTCACAGGGAACGGGATGACATCACCGCCACCCCCTGAAAGGTCTCTTAAGGGCGGAGCAGAAGCAGCTGCTGTGCAGCCGGCTCAGGTAAGGAAAGGATCATTGAAAAATATTTGCAAGGCAGGGAGAGACTGATTGATATCAAAACTGTGTATGTACAGTGAGGGGGATAAAGTATTTGATCCCCTGCTAAATTTGCCCGTTTGCCCTCTGACGAAGAAATGACCAGTCCATAATTTTAATGGTAGGTTTACTGTAGCTGTGAGAGACAGAATAACAATGGGGAAAACCCCCAGAAACCCAGAAGACAAAAGTCAGAGATTGATGTGCATTATAATCTCAAAGAGCCAGCAGATATCAGGCTACCTGGTATCTTCATGTCCCAGTTTTTAATGTTTGATGTTTTATCATGTTTTTATTATTTTGTTGGGAGCCGCCCAGAGTGGCTGGGAAAACCCAGCCAGATGGGTGGGGTATAAATAAATTGTTGTTGCTGTTGTTGTTGTTGTTAATGAACTGCTTTGACACTGTCATTTATTGTTGGAAAAGCAGAATAATTTTTTAAAATATTATATTAAATCAGCCCTGTAGGGAAATTACCTTTCCCTGCACACATCAAACATCTCTCTCCTCATTTGGGAGTGAAGGACTACCATTATCCTTTGACTTGCCTGTTAACAGGGGAACACCACATTCTTCCTCCCCCTCTTCTTCTTCCAGGGTCCCCTGTCCTTTGAGGAGGTGGCTGTGTGTTTCACAGAGGATGAGTGGTCTCTGCTGGATCCAGGCCAAAGAACATTGTACAGAGAAGTCATGCTGGAGAATTCCCGGAATGTGGCCTTGCTGGGTAAAGGATTTCATATTATTATTTTACTTTAGCAGTTTCTGTATTGCCTTAACTGCACAAGTCTATAATCTGTGCACAATAAATGCAGTTCAGGGAAGATTCAAATAATTAGTTAAAATGGTGAATTAAGAATTCACTTAAAGGATCAATCTTTGCTCCGAGTTTAGGTAGCCTCTGCTGTTTCCAGCAACTAGTACTTAGAAGCAGCAGCATCATGGCAAGTAGCCATTGATAGCCTTTACCTCCATAAAGCCATCCACATTGATGAGCATCACCTCCTCTTGTGGGAACAAGCTCCATAGTTCAACTATGTGTTGCATGAAGATGTACTTCTCATTTTATTAAAGCAATAATTTTAGTTTAAAGAGATAATTTTATTAAATGATAAAGAAGGGAACACAGTCTAGGAACCTGTTTCTGTTGAATTATACACAACACCTCTAAGGGCAGATCCATTGAAAACGTGCATTCAAAACACACATTCAAAGCACAGGACTTCCCTCAAATCCTGAGAACATCCGTTTCATTCTGACAGAGTTACAGTTGCCAGCACCCTTGATAAAATACAGTTCCCAGGATTCATTTGAGGAAGCTTGAATGTTGGAAAGGACCACAAGGGTTCTCTAGTCCAACCCCCAGCAGTGCAGGAATCTCAGCCAATGCATCCATGACAGATGGCCATCCAACTTCTACTTAAAGACCACCAAGGAAGGAGAGAGCCCACAACCTCCCGAGGGAAACCGTTCCACAGTCAAACCACTCTTACTGCCAGAAAGTTCTTCCTGAGGTTTAGTCGGAATCTCCTTTCTAGCGTATCCAGAGGTACCACTGTACCTTGAATCCATTGGTTTGGATAAACCTGATGTGCCTTGACTAAACCACATATGTGCAGCCTCTTCTCTATGGGAGTGAATTTGGTTTGTTGAAAAGCTTTCTGCCCTTTCCTTCTTTTTAAAAAAAATTTATTAACAATTTCAACATAACAAAATATCAAAACATAACATATTCATTACTTTTTTCCCTCCCCCCCCCACTTCCGCAACAAGACTTTCCTCAGCTCCTCTCTCTGATTTCTCAACACATGTTGTTCTCTGCATACTGTAAAATCGTATAAATCCTTACATTATCTATCTACCATGCTATCAATCAATAAATTTGTGTATGTTTATTCAAAACCTGCCAAGGAGTCCAGTTCATTTTGTTGTCTTTTTAGATAATTTGTAAAAAGTTCCCATTCTTCTTTGAAGTCACAGTTGTCCTTATCTCGCAGTTTGTATGTCAGTTTAGCCAGTTCTGCATAGTTCTTGCCACTGTTCTTTTGTCGGGGTTTCCTCATTCTTCCATCCTTGTGCTTTCAAGACTCTTGCTGCTGTTGTAGCATATATAAACGAATTCTTTATTTTCCTTAGCAGGTCTTGTCCTACAATCCCTAACAGAAATGCTTCTGGTTTTTTTACAAATGTCATTTTAAACATTTTCTTCAATTCATTATATATCAGCTTTCCGCCCTTTTTAACCAGGCTCCTCTCTTTTCTTCCAGAAGGTGATGGGTGGCCCAGTAAGGATGAGGAGGGACCATCCAGAGAGTCCTCGGAAAGGAGCAAGTATCAAGAGACAGAAGAGGAAATCAGAAATCACAAAGGGCCAAAAAATCAGGAGCGGAATCAGCTGGAGGTGTGGATGAACGAATCAGTTAATTGGCAGGGCAGCAGCTTCCCCAAAGTTCCTATTCAGCAAGAAAAGCAGAAAGGAGCAAAGAGGAACGTCTGCCCGGTGTGCGGGAAAGGGTTCGGTCACAAATCGGACCTTAACGTGCACTGGCGAATCCACACAGGGGAGAAGCCATTCAAATGCCTGGAATGCGGCAAGAGCTTCACCCAGCGTGCAAACCTTGCGTCGCATCAAAGGATCCACACGGGGGAGCGGCCCTACAAATGCGCCGAGTGCGGAAAGGGCTTCTACGACAAGTCGAGCCTCGCTATCCACCAAAGAATCCACACGGGGGAGAAGCCGTACCAGTGCTTGGTGTGTGGAAAGAGCTTCCACCAGAGCTTCGGCCTCACCTCTCACCAGAGGATCCACACGGGGGAGAAGCCCTACGTCTGCTCGTACTGCGGGAAGGGCTTCTACGACAAGCCGCACCTCACCAGGCACCAAAGGGTCCACACCGGCGAGAAGCCGTACAAATGCTTGGTGTGCGGGAAGAGCTTCAGCCAGATCACGAGCTACACGTCCCACCAGAGAATCCACACGGGGGAGAGGCCCTTCATGTGCTCCCACTGCGGGAAGAGCTTCTACGACAAGTCCAACCTCCTCACCCACCAAAGAATCCACACCGGGGAGAAGCGGTACAAGTGCCTGGAGTGCGGGAAGAGCTTCAGCCAGAAGAAGAACCTGACTTGCCACCAGAGCATCCACACCGGCGAGAAACCTTACCAGTGCCTGGAGTGTGGGAAATACTTCCGCCAGCACACGGACCTCACTTCCCATCAGAGAATCCACACGGGAGAGAAGCCGTACCAGTGCCTGGAATGCGGGAAGAGGTTCTATAGGAAAGCCGATCTAAACAGGCACCAGAGGATTCACGTCGGGGCGGGGAACCCCATCATTTCCTGGAACGTTGAGATGCCTTCAGAAGGGGTATCGGTCTTGCGTCCTATCAGAGAATTCGCCCAGGAGAGCCAGTATGTCACCCCTGAGATGCTGCTGAATCACCCCTTGTTAGTCATTGAGGAATCCACATAGCAGAGGCTCCTCCTGTTGTTGTTTAGTCGTGTCCGACTCTTTGTGACCCCATGGACCAGAGCACGCCAGGCCCTCCTGTCTTCCACTGCCTCCCACAGTTTGGTCAAACTCATGCTGGTAGCTTCGAGAACACAGTCCCACCATCTCATCCTCTGTCGCCCCCTTCTCCTTGCGCCCTCCATCTTTCCCAACATCAGGGTCTTTTCCAGGGAGTCTTCTCTTCTCATGAGGTGGCCAAAGTACTGGAGCCTCAGCTTCAGGATCTGTCCTTCCAGTGAGCACTCAGGGCTGATTTCCTTCAGAATGGATAGGTTTGATCTTTTTGCAGTCCATGGGACTCTCAAGAGGCTCCTCCTAGTTCCCCCAAATAAATATTTGGGGTGTGGAAAAGGATCAAGCTATTTAAATATGCAGACTTTTTTAAATAAACCAGACATCAATGCAGACACAGACTGATGCTGGTAGCTGTCACCCTTCTGGGAAAAAAAAAAGAGTAGGCCCCACATTTATTTACTTGGGTATATTATAGCCTATGGCACCCTTCAGGTGATTTTGGACTACAGCACCTAACAGCTGCACACTAGTACGCCCATTGCAGTCCAAAAACCTCTGAGGGAGGCTGCTATAATGCATGTTTTTATGCCTTACTGGGTCCTGTTATTATTTCTTGACTGGTTTGCATGAAGCTTCCTTTTATTTCCCCTGTGCCTTAGTTTTTTTATTAAAAATTATTATGATTAATATATATATATATATATATATATATATATATACACATTTGATGGAAACTATTTCTTTCCATTGGTCTGGAATTCTGACTGTGCCCTGCCTTTTGTAGTCAACGCACATTAAAACACGTTTAGCTAATTTTGGAGTCGCTGCTTTCTTGTTTGGGTTTGAGGAGTCCCAGGATTCTTGTGGGGTGTCTGGGCGTTCCGTATCCGTTCCTGCTTTCCAGAACCTGAAAACAGTGCCTGAGTACAGATGTACATCAAACAGAAGCTTGCAGGATGTGGCTTTGATGCTACAGCCATCGATAATGCCAAAAATGGGAGGCTCCAGGCAAATCCAACCCTGGCATAGGCTACACCAGACATGGTGGCCTACAATCCATAGAATCAGAGTGCATAAGGTACATCTAGTCCAACCCCCTGCAATGCAGGGATTGAAGAATCTCTGACAGGTGGCTAGCCAACCTCCGTTAAAAAACCTTCGAGGAAGAAGAGTCCACCTTCTGATGTAGCCTTTTTAGCCTCGGGTGAAAAGAGTTTTGCGCCCGGAAGAGGGAAATGGGAGTCAACAGACACTCAAGGAATAGTTTCAGAGAAAAAGCTTTATTCTACCATCCGGCTGGTAGAAGGAGCAAGTGTGATAACTCACAAAACAAGCACGAGTTCACAGCCATTTGCACAGAGTATATATTCCCCTTCAGTTCCCTCCCCTTTCTCCTCCCCTCAGGAGTCCTGCCCCATGGTGGGCTTCCTGAGCATGAATAGAAAGCTCCTGTCTTGGGACTCTTTTGGACTCTTCCCAGGAAAGGGGGATGAGAAGCCAAAGGGGGATCGAGGAGCCTTGCGGTTCAGCATGTTCAAGATGTGACAACCGAATGAGATAAGAGTCAGTTCTCAGGTCTGAGTATTCTTGGCAATGACAGAGCCTATTCATTAGCCTTTTGAAGCCTTCTCGTACTGATAAAAGTAACGGGTTGCCTTTGCCACAGCATCTTGTGAGGAAAACTTTAGCTGTGGATTTTTAGAAGAGAGAAAGGAATTTTGGAGTTTTGAGGCCTGGTTGGGGGGGGGGCGACTTCGGGTCTAGGTGGGGTCACCTGTCCTCACCTCCTTCACTGAGGGAGTCCTCCAAGCTCTCCAAAGTCCCAGGAAGACTTGGAGAAATTATTTGTGAGAATTAACTAGAATGGGTAAAGAGATACGGTTTTGTTGACACCATCTCCCTCACTCACCGGGAGGGGTCCATCTTGAAGAGCCCTTCCTAATGTGAAAGGTCTCAAACTCCACATTCTGAGGAAGAATTACTTCACTGGCTCTGTGTTGCAGTCAGGTCTGGCATATGGGGGACAAACTTCAGGGGCCTACAGCCCACAAAGAGGTACGGTTTTGTTGACCACCCAGAGAGCCACTGTGGTGCACTGGCTAAGAGCGGTGGACACGTAATCTGGTGAACTGGGTTCGCGTCTCCGCTCCTCCACATGCAGCTGCTGGGTGACCTTGGGCTAGTCACACTTCTCTGAAGTCTCTCAGCCCCACTCACCTCACAGAGTGTTTGTTGTGGGGGAGGAAGGGAAAGGAGAATGTTAGCCGCTTTGAGACTCCTTAGGGTAGTGATAAAGCGGGAAATCAAATCCAAACTCCTCCTCTTCTTCTGTGTGGTAAACTGTTCCCTCAACTATCACCACATAAAGGTTTCCTTTGGTCCCACCTTTTAATAAACCCTGCTGGATCAGACCAGCATCCTGTTCTCACAGTGGCCAAATCTATTATACCCAGCTAACACTGGAGAGAACGAACCATTAACTAAGACACTTTTTTAAAGGCACATTAATGCCATCCAGAGGATACTGATACTGACTTGGCGGCTTTTGATGTGCTCAGTGACAGTTTCTGTGGACTGGACTCAATGGCAGTTGCTAACACCAGCCTCTAAAAGGCAAATTTACCTCAGGCCAAAGACCCTAAACCTCCACCTTGGCCATATATGCTCACAACCCAGTTTAGCTACTGGGGACAGTCTGCTTCTGGCCATAGGTGCCAACTCCCTGGGGCCCTGGGTGCATGAGCACCCGCAAAATTCCCCATGAAGGGGCTTGGTACCCACAAATTTTGGTCCCAGGGCCATGCACGTTGCATGGCAACCACAGCCCTGGGCACCCACAGCCGCTAGGCCAAGTTGGTGCTCCTGCCTCTGACCGCCCCCCAAAGCTCCTCCGGTTGTACTTCTGGCTGCTTGGCCAGCTTAACCAATCTCTGAAAAACCTGCTTTTTTGAAATCTTTAAGTTAAGGCTTTTTTAAAAAGCAGGGCAGCCTCAGCCTGGCACAGCTGCCAGCTCCCCTTTCCTGGCCCTAATGGCAGCTTCATATCCAGCCCTCAGCTTCCTCTCAGCGCTCTTTCCTCACACCTTCCCTCACCAACGGACATTCCCAACTGTCACTATTTCTGCCAGCTGTCAGTCAACTCCCTTTTCTTTGCTGGCCAATCAGGGTCTTGTTGCATTCCGTCCCAGACCAATCAGCATCAATGTTTCTTGAAACTTTAGTTTTCTTGCAATTGACAGCCAGCTGTTCTCTTTGGCAGTATCCTGAGAATGCCCTCATCCATCTTTTTAGGCCTACTTTTGTTTGGGATAAAAGTACCACACCATCTGCATATAATAATAAATAATATATTTTTTTTATACCCCGCCCTTCCTGGTTCAGAAAACTGGGCTCGGGGCTGCTAACAACAAATTTAAAACACTTAATTGATGCAACAAAAACCAGCATAAGAAGAAGAAGAAGAAGAGTTTGGATTTGATATCCTGCCGTTCACTCCCTTTAAGGAGTCTCAAAGCGGCTAACGTTCTCCTTTCCCTTCCTCCCCCACAACAAACACTCTGTGTGGTGAGTGAGGCTGAGAGACTTCAGAGAAGTGTGACTGGCCCAAGGTCACCCAGCAGCTGCATGTGGAGGAGTGGAGACACGAACCCGGTTCACCAGATTACGAGACTACCGCTCTTAACCACTACACCACACCACAGTATAAAACGTGAGTAACAATAAATTCAGAATTCAAAAATCAATTTAGGGGGAAATCCATCCAATAGTAATACAGAGATGGCTTTTGTGGCCAATTTTGAGGCATGATACTCTGGGGATGTTAAACTCTGAACAATATCATTTATACATAAATTAAACAGTGTGGGAGCTAGGATACAACCTTTCTTAACTCCCTTTGTGGCTGGTACTGAAGGGGAAAAGTTAGTTAGGTTACCCTAAAAAACTGTTTGTGAATTCCCCCCCCCCCCCAGCCAGGCCTCAAAGCCTCAAGCACTTTTCAAACTGCACTTCTCAAAGTTTTTTTTCCCTCTCTAAGGCTAAAAGCTTTTAGCTCAGCATCTTTCTACGTAACAACGGTAGAGCACAATGTCTTCTGCTTCTCAGGCTAGCTGACCTTGTCCAAGCACATTTAGATTGTTGCAGACTCTTCCGGGAGCAGAGCCAGGGAACAAGAGCGAAACATTTTCTATGCAATTCTGTGAAGGGGGTTTGGGAAAAAGGGGGTGTGGGAAAAAGGATAAAAACCTGCTGTAAAATGTTTTTTCTGCGGCCTGTTTTTGTGAATCCATCACACAGGTCCTCTGCCCCCCCCCCCCCATGGCAGAATAAATCTCTTTCTCTGGATTTAACCCCTTGGTGTCATTTGACTCTCTTCGTCCCTGCCCAGGTGCAACGCTTTCCTACCCATGGTTAAAAAGGCCTAGAAAGGCTACCGTACAGATCCTGTGAGCTGCCCATTTGTAGAGCAATGCACTTTCAGCAGTTTTTATATAGACATTTAATCAATAACAATAATCTTTTATCTATACTTGAAGAGTTCAACTTATCCCACAGTCTTTCTCGAGAGACTAATTTGAATGCAGCTTTCAGATCAATGAAAGCTACATATAGCACACCACCTGGTTTCTTAACATACTTCTCTATAAAATGGGCTAGTACAAAGCAATGGTCTGTAGTGGATCTGCCTTATCTAATTCCTGCTTGCTCTTCAGCAAGAATAGCTTCATCAGTTATCCAATCAACTAGCTTATTGTAAAGATGCTTTGCATATAATTTGCTAATTACAGGTAGCAAACTAATTGATCTATAACTAGCCGGATCGGATGGAAGGCCCTTTTTGAATAAAGGGATGACCACAGCAGTGGCCCAAACTTCAGGAAATATTACCACCAGCAGGGAGGCCCACCAGCCGATGTTGGATTTCAACAGTTCTGGGGGCAAATAGTCTATGCCGGGTGCTTTATTATTATTTAACTGAAATAAGGTTCTTGACCTCTGTTATAGATAATGGAGGCCAGTCTGGAAAGTTTTCCATAGATTCTCACCATCCTGCCCATGATAGAGAGAATGAGAATATTGCATCCATTCATTGAGTCCGATAGTACACACATTGCAAGCATTCTCCAGCAGGCCTAATATTGTACGCCAGAAGAGGGAGGTGGGAGGCCTTTATTGAGATATTCCAAGCATGTTTTTCTGCTTTCTGTTTTTTCCATCTTAGCAGAAGTTTGTACTTCTGCCTGAGGGAAGCATACTCACTAATTAAGAGGGGTTAGAGTTCCTATATTTGCGATAAACTATGTGTGCTTGTGTGTGCCAGAACCTGGCACTGAAGCATCTACTGTTAAACTGGCCTAAAACACAGGGGAAAGCACAAGACCTCAAACTGCGACAGCAATAGGCTTATTTTCCCCACTTTCAAAACTTAAATGATGATAACAGCAATTTGAGCTTTTAAAACGTTCAGCTGCACACACTCTTTTTCTTAATCGAGGTTTGCAAATCCTTAAAAGTTTGTTTTTATTCACTCCTAACAGAGCAGGAATGAGGAAGCAAAGCATGGAATGGCTTTGGAAGGATGAGGCTGGTTAGGAGGAGGAGAAATGCTGGTTGAGTTCAGGATCCAAAATTAGCTGTGATTCCGGGCCTGCCGGGGGTTTGGACTAGATGACCGCTTTGTGTCCCCTTCTAACTCCCTGAATATTTGATTCTATGAAAATCGCATCGTGGGCTGCATCTGATTCCTGCGACTTGACAGAAGGGCAAAATTGTTCCAAAAACAGAGTTGGCTGTCCATCTGTCAGGGGTTCTTTAACTGTGACACCTGCATTGCAGGGGGTTGGGCTAGATGACCCTCGGGACCCTTCCAACTTTACCATTCACAACCAAGAGCCTTCCTTCCACCTCCCTCTCTGCTCCCTTGCCAGGGCTGAACTTTTTCTCCCTGTCTTTTATTTTTTAACTGTGGCCATGTCCACACCGTATACTTATTTTAGGGTTGCAGAGGCCCCTTCTACCTGCTTCACTTGCGTCCTGGGCAGACAGAGCCTGCTCAGGACTTTAAGCGCCCTCATCTGAAATCTTGAGAGAGCTGCTGCCGCTGCCAGTCAGTGCAGGCAGCAGGACTCAGCATAAGGCAGACTTCCTAGGCTCCAGCCTCCGACGTGGCTGCCCGGTTCTTCACGGGAGACTTTTAAGCAGAGGTTGGGTCATGTATGATCTAGCTGTGATCTCTGCATCAGAGGGGGTTTGGCTAGATGACCCCTCCGTGCCCCATGCATGATCTCCCTTTGCTGTTTTCTTGAGAAACCCCCACCAGCACTGCAGGATTTCCTGCAAATCGTACCCACCCGCACCCCTCCCTTTCCCACCAAGATTTGGGAGGAGGAAGTGACTATTCCCAGGGACCTCTCTAGGGCTGCGAGCAATTGCTTTTAACCCTTGGGGGGCGTATATTCCTTTTGCAAAAAAAAAAATAAAGGCGGGGTGGGGGGGAAAGCCACTGAGAAAGGGGCGGCCGGGTGCCTAGAGAGGCAGCTGTGCGGGGGAGGAGGAGGAGAGGAGCGCCTGAGCTTTGCAAGATTCAATTCCTCTCCACTCTGCGCTTTGCATGTGGGAAAGAAAGAAAAGATCTTCCCACGGGTTGCATCCCTGGATGAGGTGAGTGACAACTGCCCCCCCCCCATCCCACTTCCCCACAACTTGGGCTCGAGGGGCGTCCCGGGGCCAGGGAGGGGGGTGTGCAAAGGGGGGCGGGATTTGGATGCAATGATCTGAACAGTGAATGGAGGCTTAACAAAAAGAAAGAAAGGCAAGCGAGGTCAAAAGCATATAAAAATATTCAATGCATTTATAAGGATACTCAAAGCATGTCTTTTCGATAGTCTCCAATATGACTGGGCTCAAAACAACTCTGCGTGAGGACACCAGTTTAAGAAGACCAAGCCGGCTTCATCCTTTAATCTGTTTTCATCTCTTTTTTGGCCTGGCTATAAATCTCAATTTTTATGTGAGCTCGCTCTTTCCCTTAAACAAAACAATGTGAGCCCAAGGCAAAGATTAAGCAGATTTACCTAACTTTTCTTCCCCCTCATTTCCCTTATTAATATGTTTTGTTACCTCCCCCTCCCCCCAATAGCTGTCAACGTTTTCCTTTTTTTAAGGGAAATTCCCTTATTCCGAATAGGATTCCTTGCAAGAAGAGGGAAAAGTTGACAGCTGTGCCCCCACACCTTGAGAGTTATGGGTACAAGTTCTGCAAGATGCGAGTTTTATATGGCGTTAGTTTTGCTGATAGAATTCTGCCTATCACTCTCGATCCTGTGCTCAGAAGCCCCTGCAGTCTTCTCCACTGAATCACGTCCCCCAACCTGCAATTCTGCCTTCCCTTATTTCTGCTTTAAAAAGCCAAATACTTCACAAGACCAAGCGCTCTGAGCTCTTCAGAACTGAATTGTCTGCCTCTTTCATTTTCCAGGTAACTGTTTACTGATGTCTGCAGGTGTTAACAATAACAACAATCATATACCACCCTTTATCCAAAGATCTCAAGGCATAAAACACAACACCCCCCCACAAAATATATAATAAGAACAGAACAGGCCCATTAACAGAGTGTTAATGAGCCCAAAGCCTGGTTGTAGAGAAAAGTTTTGCCTGGCGCCTAAATATGTATAGTGAAGGCACCAGCCGAAGCTCCCCGAGGAGAGCATTCCACAAATGGGGAGCCACTGCAGAAAAGGCCCTTTCTCGTGTTGCCACTCTCTGGACCTCTCGAGGAGGCGGCATATGAAGAAGGGCCTCAGAAGGTTATATTAGTGTCCGGGCCAGTTCACAGGGGGAGAGGCGGTCCTCGAGGCATTGTAGTCCTGAGCCATTTAAGGCTTTATAAGTCAAAACTTGCACTTGGAATTGTGTCCAGAAACTAATTGGTAGCCAGTGCAGTCGGACCAGGATCGGTGTAAGGCTATACTCAAACCGTCTTGCTCTGGTGAGCAACCTGGCTGCTGGATTTTGCACCAGCTGAAGTTTCCGAACCGTCTTCAAAGGAATCCCTACGTATAACGCATTGCAGTAATCTAACCTTGAGGTTACCAGAGCATAGACAACAGTAGTTAGGCTATCCCTGTCCAGAAAGGGGCATAGCTGGGCCACCAGCCGAAGATGATGGAAGGCACTCCGGGCCACTGAGGCCACCTGAGCCTCGAGCAACAGAATAATAATAATAATAATAATAATAATAATAATTTATTTATACCCTGCCCATCTGGCTGGGTTTCCCCAGCCACTCTGGGTGGCTTCCAACAGAATATTAAAATACAATAACCTATTAAACATTAAAAGCTTCCTAAACAGGGCTGCCTTCAGATGTCTTCTAAAAGTCTGGTAGTTGTTGTTCTCTTTGACATCTGGTGGGAGGGTGTTCCACAGGGCGGGTGCCACTACTGGGAAGGCCCTCTGCCTGGTTGCCTGTAACTTCGCTTCTTGCAGTAAGGGAACTGCCAGAAGGCCCTTAGCGCTGGACCTCAGTGTCTGGGCAGAATGATGGGGGTGGAGACGCTCCTTCAGGTATACTGGACTGAGGCCGTTTAGGATCCAGGAGGACACCCAAACTACCAACCCTCTCCTTCAGAGGAAGGGTAACCCCATCAAGAGCAGGTCACCTCCCACCCATCCAGTTCAAGGAACCACCCACTAACAATGCCTCAATCTTTTCTGGATTGAAGTTTGATTTGTTGGCTCTCTTCCAGTCCATTACCAAGGCAAGACCTCAGTGTCATCAGCATACTGCTGACAGTGTACTCCAAACCTCCAGATGACCCCACTCAGTGGTTTCACGTAGATGTTAAATAGCACAGAGGATAGGTGTTGAATTTTACAACTTTGTTGATTCATTCCTGTATTACCTTTATGCATTTGTTAAATACGGTTCCAATGTTTTAATTGTGTGCTAAGCTGGGGGCGTTTGGGCAAATGACAATGTAGAAATATCTAAAACGAACGAACAGATGTTCTTGTTCTTCAAGTCTTCCTGGAAGCTCAGCTACTGCAGAGAACAAAGATGGGAGAGCAAGGGTTAGCTGGACCTGAGCCAGGAAAAGGACACCATTTAACCCAAGCTGGGAGCAGCGGGGACTTCTGGGAAAGGGCACAACAGGAGACTCTCGATGAAGACAATGCCAACCCAGACGCTCAGCGCCAGCACTTCAGGGAATTTGGCTACCAGGAGGCCGAGGGGCCCCGAGAGGTTTGCAGCCAACTCTACAGTCTTTGCCGCCAGTGGCTGAAGCCAGAAAGGCACACCAAGGCCCAGATGCTGGACCTGGTTGTTCTGGAGCAGTTCCTGGCTGTCCTCCCCCCGGAGATGGAGAACTGGGTCAGGGAGTGCGGAGCGGAGACCAGTTCCCAGGCGGTGGCCCTGGCAGAAGGTTTCCTCCTGAGCCAGGAGGAGAAGAAGCAGGGAGAGGAGAAACAGGTGAGAGTTGTTTAATCCTCGCAGGGCCAAAAGGTGGTGTCAGGTCTGGGGAATTCTCTCTTCCCCCAATGGCAGCAAGAAGAAGGGAGTTTATTCAGTCATCATGGTGAGAGACAAAGAAATCCAGTCATTCCTCAATAATGGCTTTGCTCACACTGAGCTCCACCCCCTCCCTTTCTAGCAACAGCATCTGTTTCTACGGTGTCTTCAGTGGTCAGCTGTCTCTGTGCCCTTTGTTCTTGCGCTCTTAACGAACGCCGAGTTCTAGGGGACGGGGGATCAGCTGTGTTGTCCAGTGACAATGTGTCAGCTGGCTCTGCCTCCCCTCCCACTTCTCCTATCACCTCCCAACTCGTTTGTTCGTCTGCCTCTGTGCTGTGATCTTCCTCAAAACCCTCCTGTAATTCAGTGCTGCCATCTTCTTCTCTGGAAGCTACAGGAGAAGGGTTGGGTGATCTCCACCATTCCTCCTCCTCTTCAGTCCATTCCCTGACAGGTGGATGGCATGATCCATAGGATTCTGAAACCCACACCTTTTGCCCTCCCTTTACCTGCCTCCTTCCTCTTCTAATGCCTCGCCCTTCTTCTTCGTTCAGGTGGAGGGGTGGAGAGAAGTGGCCAGAGGTCCTCTCAAGGCAGAGAAGGACACCCTGGGCCCCATGCAGAGGCCACAGTTCAGGTGGATTGTGCTGGAGGGTGACGGAGGAGCTGCCTCGCCAGGTGAGGGTCCACAGGTGATCTTGAATTTCTCAGATGTGCCAATTGCTCTCCGTGTTCCCCTGGAGCTGGGAGGTGGGGCAGAAACATTTGACTCTATCTCCTCCCACAGTTCATGAAGATGTGCTCATCTACAAAAGCTTTGCTTCCACTCAAAGAAATGGACTGGAGCTTAAAAAACACACACACCTTATTTAGCTCCAATTCATCACTTTGAAAGGAAGCAAGGCTGTGATTTGAGGAGAGAGGGTTGTTTTTCTCACCAGGTGCTGAACTATCAAAGGTGTCTGGAGGAGAATGTATTTCTTCCATGGTTTGGTTTCTTGTAGAGCAGATCCTCCTGGGGGCAGCCCCTAGGGTGGTTGGATGGCACCTTGTCCGCCTCCTTCTGGCAACTCCTGCAGCCAAGCTGGTGCCCAAAGTCTTGCTCTGCTTTTGTTTAGACCACATCAGTCTTCTTATCTAGGCAGCCCCGGATCACCACACACACTGCCCAGGCTTGTGTCTTGCAGACGTCACTTCATTGTCTCTCAAATCTGTCTAATCCTCAGAAGAAGGCTAGCAATGGCCATTGGGGGCTTTGCTAGTAAGGTCCGGTGCCTCGAATGGGCAGCTAACAGGGCCAATAATAATAATAATAATAATAATAATAATAATAATAATATTTTATTTATATCCTGCCGTCCCCAGCTGAAGCCGGGCTCAGAGCGGCTAACAACAGTAAAAATAGCACAATTTACATAAAACCACAGTCAACTAATTAAAATACATTCTAAAATCAATTCAGAATCAAATTAATGGCAACCGTTGGGCTAGAGTTCTATGAGAATTACAGAAGGAGAGAGGGGGTCAGGCTGTGCCCTGGCCAAAGGCCTGGTGGAACAGCTCTGTCTTGCAGGCCCTGCGGAAAGATGTCAAGTCCCGCAGGGCCCTAGTCTCTTGTGACAGAGTGTTCCACCAGATCGGGGCCACAGCCGAAAAAGCCCTGACTCTGGTGGAGGCCAGTCTAACTTCCCTGTGGCCCGGGACCTCCAAGATGTTTTTGTTTGAAGACCGTAAGGTCCTCCGTGGGACATACCAGGAGAGGCGGTCCCATAGGTACGAGGGTCCTAGGCCAAGTAGGGCTTTAAAGGTTAAAACCAGCACCTTAAACCTGATCCTGTACTCCACCGGGAGCCAGTGCAGCTGGTAGAGCTCCGGGTGAACGTGATCCCGTGGCGAGGACCCCGTAAGGAGTCTCACTGCGGCATTCTGCACCCGCTGGGTTTCTGGGTCAGTCTCAAGGGCAGCCTCATCATCCCATCATTTTTGTATCCCTCCCAGGTGGCGAAATGACCCTGGAGCGTCCTTCCGGCCCTTTTCCTCTTTGGGATGGAGCAGAAGCGGTTCTTACCAAGCCCCCAAATCAGGTGAGAGGAGAACGGTTCAAGAGATTGGAGGCAGGGGCAGGCTGGGCGTCTCTGGGTTCCCCTTTTGATCCTTCCACACCTGCCCAATAGGAAGCCTTTCCATGCTAATACCTGTGTGTATGGGAGGTGGCAAATACGTTCTTCTTTCTTATTTCAGGGCCCAGTGATCTTTGAGGAGGTGGCTGTGCACTTCACGGAGGAGGAGTGGGCGCTGTTGGATCTGGGCCAGAGAGCTCTGCACCGGGAAGTCATGGAGGAGATTTGTGGGAACCTGAGCTTTCTGGGTAAGGATCACTCTTAGCTCTCTTCTGGTGTTTGAGGCAAACCTATGTAGGGTAATAGTGGGGGAGGGTCCACACCCACCCACCCACCCCTCACTCTGAGATGATTTGGCACTACACCAAAAAACCCTTCACCGCCTGTGAAGCCATGAGCTGGGTTTCTTAATGCGTGTTTTGCTAACCCCCTTTATTTCTGCGGCCACCACAGATAACATTTTTTGGAATTCTCCAGCCCTAGCATAGAGGAATGCTTGAAGATGAGGTGGTGGACCCTCATTCTTTTGAGGTTTCTAAACAGCGGTTGCGTGGCCGCCTCTCAGGGCCTTTTAATTGTAAATAAGGTGTTTTGCAATATGACCCTTCGGGCCCCTCTACCGGGTATAGCTTCAGTCTTCGTTTATCATAGAATCATAGAGTTGGAAGAGACCACAAGGGCCATCGAGTCCAACCCCCTGCCAAGCAGGAAACACCATCAGAGCACTCCTGACATATGGTTGTCAAGCCTCTGCTTAAAGACCTCCAAAGAAGGAGACTCCACCACACTCCTTGGCAGCAAACTCCACTGTCGAACAGCTCTTACTGTCAGGAAGTTCTTCCTAATGTTTAGGTGGAATCTTCTTTCTTGTAGTTTGGATCCATTGCTCCGTGTCCGCTTCTCTGGAGCAGCAGAAAACAACCTTTCTCCCTACTCTATATGACATCCCTTTATATATTTGAACATGGCCATCACATCACCCCTTAACCTCCTCTTCTCCAGGCTAAACATGCCCAGCTCCCTTAGCCGTTCCTCAGAAGGCATCGTTTCCAGGCCTTTGACCATTTTGGTTGCCCTCCTCTGGACACGTTCCAGTTTGTCAGTGTCCTTCTTGAACTGTGGTGCCCAGAACTGGACACAGTACTCCAGGTGAGGTCTGACCAGAGCAGAATACAATGGCACTATTACTTCCCTTGATCTAGATGCTATACTCCTATTGATGAGGCCCAGAATTGCATTGGCTTTTTTAGCTGCCGCGTTTATTTGTTTGTTTATTACAGTGCACGCTTGGGTTGCGAACATGATCCATGTGGGAGGCACTTCCACAACCCGCAGCATTCACAACCTGCAGCGCCGCGTCTGCGCATGCGTGGGTTGCGATTCGGTGCTGCTGCGCATGCGCGAAGCGCAATTTAGCGCATGCATGATGCCAAAACCCAGAAGTAACTCATTCCGGTACTTCCGGGTTTTGACGCTTCCATAACCTGAAAAAACACAACCTGAAGCGTCTGTAACCCGAGGTACAACGACAAGAATGGCTACTATACTTCTGCTCCCACGGTACTGAACTAGTCCTGCTTCACATCCAACTCAAACTAAACGCAAACTTGCAGGGTGTCAGGCGTGGAGAGTACTCCTCTTCCAGTGTGAGCCAGTGTGGTGTAGTGGTTAAGAGTGGTAGACTCGTAATCTGGTGAACCGGGTTTGCGTCTCCGCTCCTCCACCTGCAGCTGCTGGGTGACCTTGGGCCAGTCACACTTCTCTGAAGTCTCTCAGCCCCACTCACCCCACAGAGTGTTTGTTGTGGGGGAGGAAGGGAAAGGAGAATGTTAGCCGCTTTGAGACTCCTTCGGGTAGTGATAAAGCGGGATATCAAATCCAAACTCCTCTTCTTCTTCTTCGGTAACTTCACAGATAAGAATTAATGAGCAGTTCATAGACCTATAGTCCTTTTATTACAGCATCATGCTGCAAGCACAAAACACACATCTCTCCGCAAGGCTAGTCTGACTCCTCCCTTGCACTTCCCCAGCAACATCCTGAGCGCCAACAGGAAGTTCCTCCCCCTCTCTGCCTTCTCTGATATGATCAGACCTCCTAGATTTTGGGGAGGGGGGTCCCCCTACACTCTCCAATGGCGTATCTGCTAGCTGATCCTGCTCGTCTCTCATTATCTCGTAGCTAGGCAACTCCTGGGGAATGTGTTCTGCGTCTGTATCTCTCTCTGCTTCTGAAAACGCTGGAGGCAAGGAGGGAGCCAATCTCCCCCCTCCTCTTCTGAGAGGAGCTGATCTGCTTGTGAATGCATTCCCCAGTCCTCATCTCCAGACCTTTCCCTGACAAGGGGTTGGACTAGATGACCCTGTTAGGATTCTTGCTCCGTGTTTGCAGTCATGGGATTGTTTTCTATCACATGACGGTGTATGTTTTCATTCCACAGGGTGGGAAGTGACAGAAACAGGATGTTTTGATGTTAATATGTTCCGTGATGTAGGACTATTGTACTTTGGTCTTTTTCTCTTTGCTGTCTGATGAGAAAGAGGAAGGAGCTAAGTCAGAATGCTCCGAGTGTATTATATGTAAATAAAGTGGATTAGCTTCTGCTTTCCAGATAGAATTTCCCAGGTTTGGTCTCCAGCATCTCCAGGTAGTCTGGGTGGGTCTGCTGCCTGAAACCCTGGAGAACTGTTGGCTGTGTACCAATGAACTCACTCAGTATAAGACACCTTCCTATTTTCAGGATCTGTGCACTGAATGCATTATTCCTTCCGCGATTCTAACAGTGTCCTTTTGAAAAGGGCTCAGAATCCCTACTGAGACCTTCTATCCCTATACAGAAAGATCTGAAGGGGAGCTGGTGCCTGTAAGTGGGTTTGGGGGGTGGGCCTTGCATGCACATAAAAGAGAAGCAGCTAATTGGGCTTGTCCCTGATGAGGTCGTTGGTTTCTGCCTTGCCATCCTAACAGGATTTCCTTTTCCTTTTGTTTCCCAAGCAGAAGGTGGTCAGTCCAGCGAGAATTACGTGCAATCATCTGCGGAGTACGGAATGTGGAAAGAGACATTTGGAAACCAAAGGGGACCCAAAATCATCAGTCCGGATAAGCAACATTGTCAAAATAATATAAGTATCCAGACCGGGGAGAAACCGTACACATGTGTTGAGTGTGGAAAGAGCTTCAGCAATGGAGGAGACCTTGCTACACATGAAATAATCCACAAGGGGAGAAACCGTATAAATGCGTAGCTTGCGGAAAGACCTTCTGCACCAGTGGGAATTTTAGTAATGAAAGAATACATTCAGGGTGGAAGCCATATGTATGTGCCGAGTGCGGAAAGAGCCTCGGCGATAGCAGATCACTTGCTAAACCTCTAGGAACTCACACAAAAGAGAAACCAGATAAATGTGCGATGTGTGGAAAGTGCTTCAGGTGTACTGGGAAGTCCCTGAAAGAAAGGAAGAAAGCTGAGAAAAAACTGGCCCTCATGGCCAGGAGCAGGAGGGCTAGAACAGCCCACACACTGAAGGTCAAGCTGGAGGTGGTGGAGCGTGCAGAGCGCGGGGAGCGAAACAAAGACATTTCTTTAGCCATGGGCTTGTCAAAGTCTACAGTCCGTACCATATTCAACAACCGCGAGAGGATAAAAGCAAGCGCTGAAAATCTGCAGAGCGAAAAGTTAACCAAGGTGACAACCGGGCGAGCAGAAATTTACGAAACTCTGGAGAGGCTGCTGGTTCAGTGGATTGACTGCCACGGCGATCGGGGCGCCCCATTGTCCTTCCTCCTCATTCAGGAGAAAGCGCTGTCCTTGTTTGAGGATCTGAAGAGGAAGAAGGCGGAGAAGGGGGATGCGAGTGCTGTAGGCATGGGGTTCAAGGCGAGCAAGGGGTGGTTTGACAGATTCAAGAGGAGGGCGTACCTTCACAACGTTAAACTAAGGGGAGATGTAGCTACTGCCGACACTGCGGTCGCATCAACCTACCCCACACATTTCCAGGAAATCATTGAGGAAGGCGGGTACCACCCGAAGCAGATCTTCAACATGGATGAAACAGGGCTGTTTTGGAAGCGCATGCCGTCTCGGACGTGCATCTCCATCCAGGAGGCAAAGGTGCCGGGGCCCAAGGTTTCAAAGGACCGCCTGACGCTGCTCCTGGGGGGTAATCTAGAGGGTGACGCAAAGCTAAAACCCCTGCTTGTGTACCACTCAGAGAACCCCAGGGCGCTGAAGGGGATCCCCAAATCAACTCTGCCCATTTTGTGGCGTTCCAATAGAAAGGCATGGGTCACCCGCGAAGCTTTCAGCGACTATATCAGGAGCTACTTTTCTCCTTTTGCAGCTGACTATTGCCGGGAGAGTAACCTGGACAACAAAGTGCTTCTCCTGCTGGACAACGCCCCTGGCCACCCTGTCAGCAGCCACGATTATTCCGACAATGTCCGTGTTATGTTTCTGCCTGCCAACACGACTTCGTCATTGCAGCCTATGGACCAAGGAGTGACCGACAAATTCAAGGCTTACTATCTGCAGCTTGTCATGAAACACATGGTCACGAAGAGTGCCGAAGACAACAGCAGAAGCCTCGTTGACATTTGGAAAGAATTCAACATAAGGAAGGCTGTGGATTTCATTGCTACAGCTTGGTCGATGGTTACAAAAGAGACTCTAAACGCTGCCTGGAAAAGCTTATGCCCCAAGTATGTTCGTGATCACAGAGCGCTGGCGAAGGACTTGCCCGCTGCACATAAGACTATTGTGGACCTGGCAGCACAGGCTGGCTTTGAGGGTGTGGATGAGGAGGACGTGCGAGAGGTGCTTGCGAGTCGCACGGAACGCCTTACAAACGAGGAGCTGATTCAGCTCGATGAGCAGTGCTTTGGTGGGAAGAGGGAAAAGGGTGAGGGCAAGGAAAAGGAACAGAAAGTTATCGGCATGAAAACGCTAACTCAGATGTTGGCACTGCAAGGTGGCTTACTGTCCGTGACGGGGGAATATGACAACAACTTCGAATGTGCTCTAAACACAGAATTGATGCTCGACGAATTAATGGAGCCCTATACGTTTCTCCATGACAAAAACCAGAGGGAGGCAAAGCAGCCCACAGCCCACGATCCTTTTCATAGGGAGCCAAAAGACAGCACTTCTGATCTCGAAGCCTTGCCTTCCACATCTGGTTACGTTCCTCCCGAAAAGGAAGTTGCCATCAAGGAAGAGATCGTGGTCATCGAGGTGAATGCGGAAGAAATGGAAACTGAACCTGCAGACAGAACTGATTCGCAATCTTCCATTTCCTTGAGTTTCTCTTGCCCTGCACCATCGCCTTGAATACAATCATCTTGCTAAGGATTGGGATAAGGAGAACCTTACGGGACTTCAAATCATTGTCTGCAGAAAATGTTTCAGTTAGCACAAACCATGGGTTGTATTCAACTAGCTTTTACTCTAAGAAGAATCATAGACACTAATGACCATAACTTTCTTAGGTCCATTAATTTTAATGGGTCTACTCTGAGTAAAAGTTAGCTGAATAGAACCCCATTTATCTACACTGGAGGAAAACAGGTAGGGCCAAAAGGGGTGCTTTTAAAAAAATAATGGGTTTTTAAAATTAGCTTCCCATATAATTTTTCCAAAATATCCAACTAAATACAAAAGACAACAGCACATTTTTTCAATGCTGATATATTGTATGTCGTTTCATATTGTTTGCTGTAGGTTTGCTGTGACCTGATAAAACATACACTACTTAAAATACCCAAGTTGAGGAAAATGAGGGTAGGAATAAGGTAGAAGAAAAGAGAAGAGAGAAAAGGACCAAACCTTTTGCTAAGCAAAACAATAACCTAAGAGGATTTTTATGACAACCAGACATTTCTGTTCACCTGTGGCATTAAATCACATAGATTTTTTGTCATTAGCATATTACCTGAAGCCCCACCACACCGAAAAGAAGTCCTGTGGCTGTGCTTTACCTTGAACTAGTCTTAAATTTGGTGTAAATCCCCCCATTGCAACATTCTATGCATTCTTGTACCACATTTATATATTCAAGTTGTCGAGTTCCTTCCAGTGCTGTACAAAAGTTCATCTAAACTGCAAATACTAAGAAGGCGATAAATTGTTTGGATGTTAAATCTTTATTTGTACCTTGAAACGATGTTAAAAAAGAACGTTCCTGTGCAAAGTTTCTATGTATTGCTAATAGTTCTGTATGAATCAGGGACCAGAATGTTTGAATGTGTGGTCACTTCCACCATAGATGAAAGTAGGTCCCTTTAGTATCACAACCATGGCAACACATAGGGCTTATTACTGCTGATGTAATAATGTGCTAATTGGGCATTATATGTCCCATACCATCTATGCCACATTTCGTGTGAGAGTTTTCTAATATTTGTCAACAGAGATATACTTGCCAACCACAGCCCTTTTCTGGTGGAATCATCAGTATTTGTTATTAAATCATATTCCCACACTGATTTTAAGCTGGACAAATCACCTAGCTGGGCTTTTTATCGATCATAGAATTCTGAAACTCTTCCTTTACCTCTTTTCCCTTGCCCAGGCAGGCCAGTAGAGCAGCCTCCTCCTCCCTCCTCCCACCTCTGCCCTCTAAGGAACTCAAGGTGACCTATATGGTTCCCCTACTCCCACTTGATCCTCACAACAAGAACATCTCTGTGAGGTAAGTTAGGCTGAGGCACAGTGTCTGGCCCTTAAATCCCCAGTATGGAGATTTAAGTCCTCTTCTCCCAAGCCCTAGTGCAACACATTAACCATTGCACAACACAAAGTTTGGATTAATACGCTTTTTAGACCTCAAATTTTCTACAAAGCCCAGAACAGCAGCACCATCATGTATGAAACTGCCTTATACTAAGTCAGGCCATCAAGCCTAGCATTCTCTTTCCTGAATGGCAGCAGCCATCCAGGATTTCAGACCAGGCTCTCTCCCAGATGCTAGGGACTGAGCCTGGGACCTTTCGCATGCAAAAGTGGGTACTGAGCTTTGACCCTTCCACACAGGGCAAAATGGCTACTTTGGCACTACCTTCCCAACTTCCCCAAGAAACGTGGCTTTGGTGTACCAGGCAGGTGTACCATTCACCACGTGACATGTCTCTGCCTTCCTCTACCACCCAGCATGCTTCCTAGCCAACTCAAGGGCAGGTGGTCCAGCATGTGAAGGAAGGAGAAGAATCCCTTTCCCATCTCGCCCTCCCCACAAGGTCCTACTCTGACTCCATTGTGGCTGGTAGGGCAGAAGGCAGGGAGCCCGACAGTAGATGGCGCCACATCAGATAACTGGAACCAGAGCCAGGAACAGACAGAACCAACCGATTCAGGTTTTGTTCTTGCCTTCCTCCCTTGCTGAGTTCTGCAAGGGCAACACGGAGACTAAGGAGGAGGTGGGAGCTGATAGTGAGGACCATCACCTGGGCTGTTTGTAAGAAAGGAGGCAGGAAACTGGGTGGAGGCAGACAGGTTGGTTGGGCAGTGCCCCCCTTGCCCATATGGACCAACCTCCACTGGCAGTTTGGATTGACCCAGGTGCACTGCTTTTCTAATGCTCTTGTCACCAAAGTTTGGGCAAAACACTCTCTCACACACAACCCATGCCAAATTTGGAGCCGCATCTGTAATCCCTCACAAACATATTTTCCTCCAGTGCTGCAGCTGCCACAATGATTTCAGGATGTTGTGGGGATGAGCTTTCCTCCTAATTATAATCACATCAAAATCATAGTGATTTATTCTTGCCAAAGCTCGAGAGAGATTTCTGGAGATCGCCAAGACATTGGAATCAAAGGCCATCGTGAGGTTATCCGTTGCGTTCTTCCAGGGGGAGGGGGGGAGTTGGTGCACAACGTATCTCCTGTGAGAGACACAACCTGAGGAGACCCAGAGCAGGTGAAAGGGAGGGATGTGTCTGCTTGAAGCTGAATGCCCCTGTAGGGGTGAAGCCGCTGTGGGTTTGGCCTTGCAAGAGTTCTCGCCATCTTCTGATTAGCTGGCTCTGGAGGAAAGACAGGTGCTGGAGGCAGAGCCAGGATGGTACCCTTGCTGGTTCTGCTGGTTCTGCTATTGATACCCCACGGAGTGTGTGGGAACCTGACGGCAAAATGCCCCTTGAATCTGACCATAGAAGAAGAAGCTTGGAGTTACTACCGGCCTGGAGATTTCCTCATTAGCGGGATCATATCTCCACAATATCCTTTTAAGCAAAACTTATACGACTTTTCTCGGCTCCCAGTAACCAACTTTGACCGGTAAGTCATTATATGCTGATGGAAGTTATGCGTCTCCAATTTACAACAGAAATTGTCCCTGGATCAAGGCTGAGGACCACCCAAATGTTGCTGGGCTGTCATCCTGGGCCATTGGCCATGCTGGCTGGGGGCTTATGGGAGACCAGCAACAGTTGCAGTGGGGGCACAGGTTCCCAAGATGCCTGTCCTATTTTCTAGTTCCCTTTGTCAGCCCTGGGAAGATGTTCTAGCTGCTATGATGCAGTGTTGCCTGTTGAAGGATGCAAGTAAATCTGTTCAGCAAAATTATGCACTGAAGCGAGCGTGTCACCCAAGTCATGCAATTTCCTACAGGCAAACAGATGTCAGAACATCTCTCTCTCTCTCTCTCTCTCTGTGTGTGTTCGCGCGCACACACACAGGTTTCTTCCTGGCCCACCAACTCATGCAAAAATCCCTCCTAGGTTTCCATCTTGCCTCCTGAGACCTTTTGCTTTTGTGTCGTGTATTTTTCAGCGATGAGCCCTTGTAACAGTGACATTTTAAACCTGCTCTGGGAGACATTTTTGGCAGAAGTGCCAAAATGGATAATAATTTATTGTTTAAAAATCAAGCCAGGAAGTCATAGGACCTCCTCATTACCAGTGTCAAATCTCCAAAATTTGAGAAGTAACTATTCAGTTTTTTTTAAAACAACCAACCACAAAACAACAACTTCAACCCACTAAGCTTCGTTCATAAGTAAAGTTGTTTTGATGGTTTTGGTGCTTCCTCAACTGCAGTCTAGATTAAGGTCACCAGATTTTTTTCAATGAATCTGGGACACTTTTCAACTTCAATGGATTTTGTATGGGGACTGATTTGTAAATCGGGGACTGCCCCCGGGAAATGGGGACGTCTGGTAACCTTACTCTAGATGCTCCTAATTACCAGTGATATCCTCAGTATTTTCGTCCCCTGGCCTGCTGCGATCATCCTTGGAAAAACTCTCTCCTTACTGGCCTTTTGAAGAACCATTGGGGACTTCATGAACCCTGAAGCAACTCCTAATCTAGGTAGGATCACATGCAAGGGGATAACTGGGGGATTCCTGAGTTATTTCCACCAAAGTAAAAGCCCCTTGCATACGGAGTGGCTACCACTAAGGTGGCTCTTTCTTGTCCCTCTATTTCATGAATCCTTAAAAAAATGTATGTCTTAATTCACTTCTGTTTTTTGAAGACTGTGTGTTTCTTTCCCTTCTGTGATGGAATGTTCATTTCCTTATTTTTATTGTTAAGTGGCAAATGGGTTTTTCATATTGCAAGAAGGATATGACTTTTCTCACACCTCACAGCAGATGTACAGGCCATTATGTGGGAGAATCAAAACAACTGTATAGTCGCTGAATGATGAACAGTTGTTTCACATTTTAAAAAAAGTATTTATTTATTGCAGTTTCTCAGGTAGGCTGTACTGGCACATCTTGTCCTTCTTGTTCACCATCCAGGAGATCAACAGGGACCCCAGGCTCTTACCCAACATCACCCTGGGCTACAACCTCTATGAGAGCTTATTCAATGCAATGATAACGTCCGATGCCATGCTAAACCTGCTTTCAGGTGGGGAAAGCAACATCCCAAACTATACCTGTGGAAAAGGGAATGATAACCTGCTGGCTGTTCTTGAAGGGGCCAATTCTGTGATTTCCAAACACATTTCAATCATGTCAAGCATCTACAAAGTACCACAGGTATGAAGGGGAAGGGGCAGCACGGAGGGACAGAATAGAAATTCATAGGCATGAAATTCCACTTTCTCGCCAGGGAAATCAAGGCAGGGCATCCAAAACTAAGTTAAAACACTGCAGATTGGATCCAGGGCTCCAAAACCCAGTCTCTGCCCACCTGGCATCTCACCCCTTGATGTTTCAGACCAGCACCAGTTTGTCCAATATTAATCATTTCAGGTTAATAAATGTCTGGTTCTTGTCCTGAGACCAAAGCAAAGCACGAATCTCTTCCTTTCCTCACTAGATCAGTTACGGCTTCAATGCTCAGACTCTGGATGACAAATCCCAGTTCCCTTTTGTCTACC